TGTCGCCAAACTGAATGGAAAGATTGAACAAATTTTAAAGTAAACTACGTTGGGTAAATTTATTTTACCTTGTCAATTCTTAAACCTGGCGCCGAAAATGAACCCCCACCCACCAAACACGTTTGTTAATCGCGTGAACGATATTCTTAGTTCTTTACCATAGATTAAGGTGTCTTTGTAACAAAATAAAACCGTTTTCTGCAAAAACTCTTTAATTTGTCTCAAAACCCTTGGCATGACGAGCTAAGCTGATCTATCGTTTATGTGGAGATAGTGTTCGGTCCAAATTCACTTCAGTATTCTTCTCACATCGAACCATCATTAGTGATCAATCATTCATTTATATTTGGATTGCTTTCGCCTAACTCCTGTTCATTGCCGTTTAGACATCCTTTAGGCCAAGAGGTTGATATTGATACTACGTACATACGGAAATTACAATTTTTTTTGACAATTTTAAAACTAAGGCCGAAATGAAATTCTTGTGAACTAGACATATTCTATCATTGTCATGATGATATGCTTTGTAAGGTCGAAATCACGAAAGAGGTTCTCTCAGCTCGTATTCTCTTGAACAACTCAATCACCAGATATGCCTTTTTTCCCCATTATCAAGGTAAAACAGACAGTCATCGCCACTCATGTAAAAAATTTTTTTCCTAACCTCATGCAAAATGTCTCTGTACTTGAGAATTCCAGGTGGTGTTCGGTGGTGGAATTGTAGACGGTCTGGCGAGAGTGTACAGTTTGGTTTGTTACTCGAGGTAGAATGACACTTACTACCGTTTCCGCCAAAAAATCCCTCAGCTTTTCTTGTTTTTACTTTCTGTTATTTTATTTGTTCCGCGGTGTTTTCAGAGATTGTTTTAGTACCTCGCCACCTTGATGATGAGGACCAGAAAATTATTAAAGAAAAACTATTACAATCAGATATCATGGGAGAAGTTACACATCGTCAAAATTTTGTGGTGGTCATAGAAGGCTAATTCAGAAAAATATTGAGGGAGTGCCATCAGCATTACTATGATTTTAACTCAAGTTGGGTGTTAGAATCAAAGTACGTTGCCTCTGCTATTTTTGATAATCATTGGAAGTAGATTTTGACATTGTTATGTACTGTAAGTATCTTTAGTAATAAAATATCTTTAGCTCTACAGCTCTCATGAAAATTAATTCATTCTATGTAAAGCGTAACCCGGTTGTAATGAAAGAATCTTAACGTTTGCGAAATAAAAAGGGTTATTTTTTTCTCCTAGGCAAGTTTTTTTCCTTTTAATTTTTTAGTTGTGTCTATTGTGTTTTGAAGTTTTAATTTTTTCAAAGAATAGTGATTGTAATAAAAAAAAGGGTTGCTTTGGTGTGGTGTGAAAATGAGTCAATGAACGTCTCAGCGTGATATTTTTTATTTCATTCACTCGCCTCTTGCAAAACTAAACTAGACGGTCGTCGTCAATCGCACGAAAAGCATCTTCTTAATTCATAGATTTCGTCTCAATGTTTTCAGGTACGTTCATGGTGGTGGAATTCAATTGTGGTCCGCCCCTAACAGGCTACTTTGTTAGTTAACTTGAAGATTCAACACGCTATTCCCTTTTCAAAAAAGAATATATCCCTTTTTTCCCTCTTGGAAATGCGAACCATTTTTTTCGGAAATGCTTATTTGGTCATTTCTTTATGTTAATTTGTTCGTGACTATAACAAATCTTAAGCATAAATTGCCGCTGTCATTCCATTTTGTTAATCAATTGTGTGAATACAGACCGACCTTACACTCTGCTCAGTGCCACTGTCATCGTTATCCATCAACGGTATCCTGTTGTTACTATTGTTAGTGCTATTGTTGACATTCACCCCCTGGTATTGCACTTGATTTTCTTTGGATCATGATTAGTAGTTGGGAACAGACCCTTATAAAAAACTAATGAACGCCTCTTTATGTAAATCGTCATTGCTGAGCGATAATAAAGAGGTACAGATAGAAATTCCCTGGATATAAGGTACGAATTTAAGATCCCCCTGGTTGTAAGGAAAGCATTTACGAATTCAACGCCTGATATTGCTCTTTATTTTCGGAAAGAA